AGTACCTGCGTGCTATTCCGAAATATGCGGTCATGAATGCAGGAGTGAGCAATCGGCGTTGTGGTTCAGCGATAGAATACTCACCTGCTGCGCGGGTGACCCGGGTTTGATTCCCGGCTGACGCAATGTTATTTTTAGAAAAGCTCATGCATGCTGTTACGCTATATATGCATGCCATGAATGCAGGAGCAAGCAGATGGTGTTGGTGGTTCAGTGGTAGAATACTCGCCTGCCACGCAGGTGACCCGGGTTCAATTTCAACACTGTCGAAATTTGGGCTTGTTGGTGCATTGTGACGACTGCATTGTGACGTGCATTGTGTTGGGCATTGTGAATTCCCGGCCGACGCATTGTTATTTTTGAAAAAGCTCAGACGCGTTATTACGAATAATTGCATGTCATGAATGCATGAGTACGCAACCGGCGTTGGTGTTTCAGTGGTAAAATACTCGGCTGTCACGCGGGTGACCCAGGTTCGATTCCCGGCCGACGCATTGTTATATTTAGAAAACTCACGCGTGATGTTACGCTATATATGCATGCCATGAATGCGGGTGTAAGCAAATAGCGTCAGTGGTTTCATGGTATAATACTCGCCTGCCACGCTGGTGACCCGGGTTCAATTGTCGGCCGACGCATCGTTATTTTCAGGAAAGCTCACGCGTGCTGTTACGCTATATATGCATGCCATGAATGCATGAGCAAGCAAATGGCGTTGGTGGTTCAGTGGTAGAATACTCGCCTGCCACGCGGGTGACCCAGATTCGATTTCCGGCCGACGCATCGTTATTTTCATAAAAGCTCACGCGTGCTGTTACGCAATAATGCATGTCATGAATGCAGGAGTAAGCAAATGACGTCTGTGGTTCAGTGGTAGAATACTCGCCTGCCACGCAGGTGACCCGTGTTCGATTCCCGGGCGACGCATTGTTATTTTAGAAAAGTTCCTGCATGCTATTCCGCAATATTGCACGCCATGAATGCAGGAGAAAGCAAACGGCATCGGTGGCTCAGTGGTAGAATACTCGCCTGTCACGCGGGTGACCCGAGTTCGATTTCCGGCCGACGCATTGTCTATTTTCGAAACGTTCCTGCTTCTCTTCCGCAATATTGCACGTCATGAATGCAGGAGTCAGCAAACGGCGTCGGTAGTTCAGTGGTAGAATACTCGCCTGCCACGGGGCTGACCCGGGTTCAATTCCGGCTGACGCATTGTTACTTTTAGAAAAGATCACACGTGCTGTTACGCCATATTGCATGTCATGAATGCCGCAGTAAGCAAATGGCGTCGGTGGTTCAGTGGTAGAATACTCGCCTGCCACGGGGCTGACCCGGGTTAAATTCCCGGCCGACACATCGTTTTCTTTAAAAACGTTCTTGCGTGCCTTTCCACAATATTGCATGCCATGAATGCAGGAGTAAGCAAATGGCATCGGTGGTTCAGTGGTAGAATACTCGCCTGCCAGGCGGTTGATCATTTTAAAAACGTTCCTGCGTGCTATTCCACAATATTTCATGTCATGAATGCAGGGGTAAGCAAATGGCGTCGGTGGTTCAGTGGTAGAATACTCGCCTGCCAGGCGGTTGACCTGGGCTCGATTCCGGGCCGACGCATCGCTATTTTTAGAAAAGCTCACGCGTGCTTTTACGCTATATATTCATGCCATGAATGCAGGAGCAAGCAAATGGCGTCGGTGCTTCAGTGGTAGAATACTCGCCTGCCACGCGGGTGACCCGGATACGATTCCCGGCTGACGCATCGTTATATTCAGAAAAGCTGAAGCGTGGTGTTACGCTATACATGCATGCCATGAATGCAGAACAAGCAAATGGCGTCGGTGGTTCAGTGGTAGAATACTCGCCTGCCACGCGGGTGACCCGGGTTCTATTTCTGGCCGGCGCATCGTTTATTTTAAAAAATTCCTGCGTGTTATTTCGCAATATTGCGCGCCATGAATGCAGGAGCCAGCAAATGGCGTGGGTGGTTCAGTAGTAGAATACTCGCCTGCCACGCGGGTGACCCGGGTTCAATTCCGGCTGACGCATTGTTATTTTTAGAAAAGATCACACGTGCTGTTACGCCATATTGCATGTCATGAATGCCGCAGTAAGCAAATGGCGTCGGTGGTTCAGTGGTAGAATACTCGCCTGCCACGGGGCTGACCCGGGCTCGAATCCCTGCCGACACATCGTTTATTTTAAAAATGTTCTTTCATGCGTTTCAGCAATATTGCATGTCATGAATGCAAGAGTAAGCAAATGGCGTCGGGGGTTCAGTGGTAGAGTAATCGCCTGCCACGCGGGTGACACGTGTTCGATTCCCGGCTGACGCATCGTTTATTTTTGAGAAGTGCCTGCGTGCTATTCCGCAATATTGCATTTTATGAATGCAGGAGTAAGCAAATGGCGTTGGTGGTTCAGTGGTAGAATACACACCTGCTGCGCGTGTGAACTGGGCTCGATTCCGGGCCGACGCATCGCTATTTTTATAAACGCTCACGCGTGCTGTTACGCAATATTCCATACCATGAATGCCAGAGTAAGCAAATGGCGTCGGTGGTTCAGTGGTAGAATACTCGCCTGCCACGCGGGTGACCCGTGTTTGATTCGCGGCCGACGCATTCCTTATTTTCGAAAGTTCCTGCGTGCTATTCCGCAATATTGCATGTCATGAATGCAGGAGCCAGCAAATGGCGTCAGTAGCTCCGTGGTAGAATACTCGCTGCCACGCGGGTGACCCGGATTCGATTCCCGCCCGACGCATCGTTGTTTTAGAAAAGCTGACGCGTTCTCTTACGCTATATATGCACGCCATGAATGCAGGAGCTAGCAAACGGTGTCGGTGGTTCAGTGGTAGAATACTCGCCTGCCACGCCGTTGACCTGGACTCGATTCCGTGTTGACGCATCGCTATTTTTATAAAAGCTCACGCGTGCTGTTACGCAATATTGCATGCCACGAATGCAGGAGCAAGCAAATGGCTTCGGTGCTTCAGTGGTAGAACACTCGCCTGCCACGCGGGTGACCCGGGTTCGATTCCCGGCCGACGCATCGTTATCGTTAAAAAAGCTATCGCATGCTGTTACGCTATATATGCATGCCATGAATGCAGGAGCAAGCAGATGGCGTTGGTGGTTCAGTGGTGGAATACTCGCCTGCCACGCGGGTGAGTCGGGTTCGATTCCCGGCCGACGCATCGCTATTAGGGGCGAAGCTCCTTAGGGCGTGGGCTGTGCGTCCCCTGTAGCCTGTATGTAGCCACCTCTAGTTTAGTTCTTGCAGTGTTCACTGGATGGCGGTACCGTCCCCTGTATGTAGCCACCTCTAGTTTAGTTCTTGCAGTGTTCACTAGATGGTGGTACTTGTAGCTGATGATGAAAAGATGCAAGATGTTATAAACTAGAAAGCGGTACTTGTAGTTGATGAAAGACGCGAGATCTTATAAAATAGGAATGATGTCACATATGGCGCGTGTCATTGGTTGAAGGCAATCGTTCGATTTAGTGCGGCGACGTACGCTAGGGGGGCGATGTAATAAAATCGAGTGGGCAAAATGTACAGAGGAATCATGGTTTACCAGGTTTACCTCCGGAGCTTCGCCCCCTCATCATCATTCACTTCGTGGATATGGCGGAATTTTTTTAGAAAAGCTCACGCGTGCTGTTACGCAGTATTGCATGCCATGAATGCAGGAGTAAGCGAATGGCGTCGGTGGTTCAGTGGTGGAATACTCGCCTGCCACGCGGGTGACCCGGGTTCGATTCCTGGCCGACGCATCGTTTATTTTAGAAAAGTTCCTGCCTGCTATTTCGCAATTTTGCACGCCATGAATGCAGGAGCCAGCAAACGGCGTCGGTGGTTCAGTGGTAGAATACTCGCCTGCCACGCGGTTGACCTGGGCTTGATTGCGGGCCGACGCATCGCTATTTTTATGAAAGCTCACGCGTGCTGTTACGCAATATTGCATGAAATGAATGCCGGAGTAAGCAAATGGCGTCGGTGGTTCAGTGGTAGAATACTCACCTGCCACGCGGGTGCCCTGGATTCTATTCCCGGCTGACGCATCGTTATTTTTAGAAAAGCTCACGCGTGCTGTTACGCAATATTGCATGCCAAGAATGCAGGAGTAAGCGAATGGCGTCGGTGGTTCAGCGGTGGAATACTCGCCTGCCACGCGGGTGACCCGGTTTGATTCCCGGCTGACGCATCGTTTATTTTAGAAAAGTTCCTGCCTGCTATTCCGCAATATTGCACGCCATGAATGCAGGAGCCAGCAAACGGCTTCGGTGGTTCAGTGGTAAAATACTCGCCTGCCACGCGGTTGACCTGGGCTTGATTGCGGGCCGACGCATCGCTATTTTTATAAAAGCTCACGCGTGCTGTTACGCAATATTGCATGCCATGAATGCCGGAGTAAGCAAATGGCGTCGGTGGTTCAGTGGTAGAATACTCACCTGCCATACGGGGGACCCGGGTTCGATTCCCAGCCGACGCATCGCTATTTTTAGAAAAGCTCACGCGTGCTGTTACGCAGTATTGCATGCCAAGAATGCAGGAGTAAGCGAATGGCGTCGGTGGTTCAGCGGTGGAATACTCGCCTGCCACGCGGGTGACCCGGGTTTGATTCCCGGCTGACGCATCGTTTATTTTAAAAAAGTTCCTGCCTGCTATTCCGCAATATTGCACGCCATGAATGCAGGAGCCAGCAAACGGCGTCAGTAGTTCAGTGGTAGAATACTCGCGTGCCACGCGGATGACCCGGGTTTGATACCCTGCCAAAACATTGATACCTTTAGAAAAGCTCACACGTGCTGTTACGCAATATTGCATGTCATGAATGCCGGAGTAAACAAATCGCGTCGGTGGTTCAGTGGTAGAATGCTCGCCTGCCATACGGGGGACCCGGGTTCGATTCCCGGCCGACGCATCGTTTATTTTAGAAATGTTGTTGCATGCAATTCTGCAATATTGCATGTCATGAATGCAGGAGTAAGCAAATGGCGTTGGTGGTTCAGTGGTAGAACACTCGCCTTCCACGCCGATGACCCGGGTTCGATTCCCGGCCGACGCATTGTTATTTTTAGAATAGCTCACGCGTGTTGTTACGCTATATATGTATGCCATGAATGAGGGAAAAGCAAACAGCGTCGGTGATTCAGTGGTAGAATACTCGCCTGCCACGCGGGTGAGCCGGGTTCGATTCCCGGCTGAGGCATCGTTTATTCTAGAAAAGTTCCTGCCTGCAATTTCGCCATATTGCACGCCATGAATGCAGGAGCCAGCAAACGGCGTCGGTGGTTCAGTGGTAGAATACTCGCCTACCACGCAGGTCACCCGGGTTCGATTCCCGGCTGACGCATTGTTATTTTTAGAAAAGCTCACGCGTGCTGTTACGCTATATATGCATGCCATTAATGCAGGAGTAAGCAAATGGTGTCGGTGGTTCAGTGGTATAATAACTCGCCTGCTACGCGGGTGACCCGGGTTCGATTCCCGGCTGCGCATTGTTATTTTTAGAAAAGATCACACGTGCTGTTACGCCATATTGCATGTCAATAATGCCACAGTAAGCAAATGGCGTCGGTGGTTCCGTGGTAGAATACTCGCCTGCCACGTGGGTAACCCGGATTCAATTCCCGGCCGACGCATCGTTATTTTTAGAAAAGCTCACACATTCTGTTATACAATATTGCATGCCATGAATGCAAAATTAAGCAAATCGCGTCAGTGGTTCAGTGGAAGACTAATCGCTGGCCACGCGCGTGACCCGTGTTCGATTCCCAGCCGACGCATCGTTTATTTTTGAAAAGTTCCTGCGTGCTATTCCGCAATATTGCATGCCATGAATGCAGCAGTAAGCAAATGGCGTTGGTGGTTCAATGGTAGAATGCTCATCGGCCACGCGGGTGAGTCGGGTTCGATTCCCGGCCAACGCATCGCTATTTTTAGAAAAGCTCACGCGTGCTGTTACGCAGTATTGCATGCCATGAATGCAGGAGTAAGCGAATGGCGTCGGTGGTTCAGTGGTGGAATACTCGCCTGCCACGCACTTGACCCGGGTTCGATTCCCGGCCGACGCATTGTTATTTTTAGAAAAGCTATCACATGCTGTTACGCTATATATGCATGCCATGAATGCAGGAGCAAGCAGATGGCGTTGGTGGTTCAGTGGTAGAATACTCGCCTGCCACGCGGGTGAGTCGGGTTCGATTTCCAGCCGACGCATCACTATTTTTAGAAAAGCTCACGCGTGCTGTTACGCAGTATTGCATGCCAAGAATTCAGGAATAAGCAAATGGCGTCGGTGGTTCAGTGGTGGAATACTCGCCTGCCACGCGGGTGACCCGGGTTCGATTCCCGGCCGACGCATCGTTTATTTTAGAAAAAATTCTGCCTGCTATTCCGCAATATTGCACGCCATGAATGCAGGAGTAAGCTAATGGCGTTGGTGGTTCACTGATAGAACACTCGCCTGCCACGCGGATGACCCGGGTTCGATTATCGGCCGACGCATTGTTATTTTTAGAATAGCTCACGCGTGTTGTTACGCTATATATGCATGCCATGAATGAGAGAAAAGCAAACAGCGTCGGTGATTCAGTGGTAGAATACTCGCCTGCCACGCGGGTGAGCCGGGTTCGATTCCCGGCCGACGCATCGCTATTTTTAGAAAATCTCACGCGTGCTGTTACGCAATATTGCATGCCATGAATGCAGGAGTAAGCAAACGGCGTCGGTGGTTCAGTGGTAGAATACTTGCCTGCCACGTGGGTGACCCGGGTTAGATTCCCGGCCGACGCATCGTTTATTTTAGAAAAGTTCCTCTCTGCAATTCCGCCATATTGCATGTCATGAATGCAGGAGCCAGCAAACGGCGTTGGTGGTTCAGTGGTAGCATACTCGCCTGCCACGCCGTTGACCTGGGCTCGATTCCGGGCCGACGCATCGTTATTTTTAGGAAAGCTCTCGCCTGCTGTTACTCTATATACGCATGCCATGGATGCAGGAACAAGCAAACGGCGTTGGTGGTTCAGTGGTAGCATACTCGCCTGCCACGCCGTTGACCTGGGCTCGATTCCGGGCCGACGCATCGTTACTTTTAGAAAAGCTCTCGCGTGCTGTTACGCTATATATACATGCCATGAATGCAGGAGCAAGCAAATGGCGTCGGTGCTTCAGTGGTAGAATACTCGCCTGCCACGCAAGTGACCCGGGTTTGATTATTGGCTGACGCATACTTATGTTTAGAAAAGCTCACGCGTGCTGTTACGCTATATATGCATGCCATGAATGCAGGAGCAAGCAAATGGCGTCGGTGGTTAAGTGGTAGAATACTCGCCTGCCACGCGGGTGACCCGGGTTCAATTCCCGCCTGACGCATGGTTATTCTTAGAAAAGCTCACGCGTGCTGTTACGCAATATTGCGTGCCATGAATGCAGAAGTAAGAAATGGCGTCGGTGGTTCAGTGGTAGAATACTCGCCTGCCACGCGGATGACCCGGGTTCTATTCTCTGCCGAAGCATTGCTACTTTTAGAAAAGCTCACACGTGCTGTTTCGCAATATTGCATGTCATGAATGCCACAGTAAACAAATGGCGTCGGTGGTTCAGTGGTAGAATGCTCGCCTGCCGCACTGGTGACCCTGGTTCGATTCCCGGCCGACGCATCGTTTATTTTAAAAAAGTTCCTGCGTGCTATTCCACAATATTGCATGTCAAGAATGCAGGAGTAAGATAATGGCGTTGGTGGTTCAGTGGTAGAATACTCGTCTGCCACGCGGTCTACCCGGGTTCGATTCCCGGCCGACGCATTGTTATCTTTAGAAAAGCTCACGCGTGCTGTTACACAATATTGCATGCCATGATTGCAGGAGTAAGCAAATGGCGTCGGTGGTTCAGTGGTAGAATACGCGGGTGACCCGGGTTCGATTCCCGGCCGACGCATCGTTTATTTTAGAAAAGTACCTGCGTGCTATTCCGCAATATTGCATGTCATGAATGCAGGAGTAAGCAATCGGCGTTGGTGGTTCAGTGATAGAATACTCACCTGCTGCGCGGGTGACCCGGGTTTGATTCCCGGCTGACGCAATGTTATTTTTAGAAAAGCTCATGCATGCTGTTACGCTATATATGCATGCAATGAATGCAGGAGCAAGCAGAACGTGTTGGTGGTTCAGTGGTAGAATACTCGGCTGCCACGCGGGTGACCGAGGTTCGATTCCCGGCCGACGCATTGTTATATTTAGAAAACTCACGCGTGATGTTACGCTATATATGCATACCATGAATGCAGGTGTAAGCAAATAGCGTCGGTGGTTTCATGGTATAATACTCGCCTGCCACGCTGGTGACCCGGGTTCAATTGTCGGCCGACGCATCGTTATTTTCAGGAAAGCTCACGCGTGCTGTTACGCTATATATGCATGCCATGAATGCATGAGCAAGCAAATGGCGTTGGTGGTTCAGTGGTAGAATACTCGCCTGCCACGCGGGTGACCCAGATTCGATTTCCGGCCGACGCATCGTTATTTTCATAAAAGCTCACGCGTGCTGTTACGCAATAATGCATGTCATGAATGCAGGAGTAAGCAAATGACGTCTGTGGTTCAGTGGTAGAATACTCGCCTGCCACGCAGGTGACCCGTGTTCGATTCCCGGGCGACGCATTGTCTATTTTAGAAACGTTCCTGCTTCTATTCCGCAATATTGCACGTCATGAATGCAGGAGTGAGCAATCGGCGTTGGTGGTTCAGCGATAGAATACTCACCTGCTGCGCGGGTGACCCGGGTTTTGATTCCCGGCTGACGCAATGTTATTTTTAGAAAAGCTCATGCATGTTGTTACGCTATATATGCATGCCATGAATGCAGGAGCAAGCAGATGGTGTTGGTGGTTCAGTGGTAGAATACTCGCCTGCCACGCAGGTGACCCTGGTTCAATTTCAACACTGTCGAAATTTGGGCTCGTTGGTGCATTGTGACGACTGCATTGTGACGTGCATTGTTTTGGGCATTGTGAATTCCCGGCCGACGCATTGTTATTTTTGAAAAAGCTCAGACGTGTTATTACGAATAATTGCATGTCATGAATGCATTAGTACGCAACTGGCGTTGGTGTTTCAGTGGTAAAATACTCGGCTGTCACGCGGGTGACCCAGGTTCGATTCCCGGCCGACGCATTGTTATATTTAGAAAACTCACGCGTGATGTTACGCTATATATGCATGCCATGAATGCAGGTGTAAGCAAATAGCGTCGGTGGTTTCATGGTATAATACTCGCCTGCCACGCTGGTGACCCGGGTTCAATTGTCGGCCGACGCATCGTTATTTTCAGGAAAGCTCACGCGTGCTGTTACGCTATATATGCATGCCATGAATGCATGAGCAAGCAAATGGCGTTGGTGGTTCAGTGGTAGAATACTCGCCTTCCACGGGGCTGACCCGGGTTCAATTCCGGCTGACGCATAGTTATTTTTAGAAAAGATCACACATGCTGTTACGCCATATTGCATGTCATGAATGCCGCAGTAAGCAAATGGCGTCGGTGGTTCAGTGGTAGAATACTCGCCTGCCACGGGGCTGACCCGGGTTAAATTCCCGGCCGACACATCGTTTTCTTTAAAAACGTTCTTGCGTGCCTTTCCACAATATTGCATGCCATGAATGCAGGAGTAAGCAAATGGCGTCGGTGGTTCAGTGGTAGAATACTCGCCTGCCAGGCGGTTGACCTGGGCTCGATTCCGGGCCGACGCATCGCTATTTTTAGAAAAGCTCACGCGTGCTTTTACGCTATATATTCATGCCATGAATGCAGGAGCCAGCAAATGGCTTCGGTGCTTCAGTGGTAGAATACTCGCCTGCCACGCGGGTGACCCGGATACGATTCCCGGCTGACGCATCGTTATCTTCAGAAAAGCTGAAGCGTGGTGTTACGCTATACATGCATGCCATGAATGCAGAACAAGCAAATGGCGTCGGTGGTTCAGTGGTAGATTACTCGCCTGCCACGCGGGTGACCCGGGTTCGATTCCCGGCCGGCGCATCGTTTATTTTAAAAAATTCCTGCGTG